GGGAGAGAGAGGCTGCAACTAGATTTAGACAGACTACAAAAGTGGGCAGACGAGAATAGGATGGGGTTCAACGTAGACACATGCAGGGTGCTGCACCTTGGGAGAAGGAATCCACAGCATACATACAGGCTGGGGAGTTCCCCTCTTGAAAGCAGAGGCGGAACGGGATCTTGGAGTCATTATTGACTCCAAGATGAACATGACCTGCCAATGCCAAACCACAGCCAACAAGGCCAGCCATACCTTGTCATGCATCCAAAGATGCATCTCAAGCCAGTCCAGAGAGGTAATACTTCCCCTCTATGCGACTTTGGTCAGCCCACAGTTGGAGTACTGCATCCAGTACTGGGCACCGCACTTCAAAAGGAATGTGGCCAGCTTGGAGAGGGTTCAGAGGAGGGCCACCCGCTTGGTGAGAGGGCAGCGGGACAGGCCCTACAAGGAGAGACTGAGAGACCTGAACCTGTTCAGCCTCAGCAAGAGGAGGCTGAGGGGGGACCTGGTGGCTGCCTACAAACTCATCAGGGGAGATCAACAGCAAATAGGCAGAGCCCTTTTCATCCCAGCACCACCTGGGGTGACGAGGAAAAATAGTAATAAGCTGATGGAGAATAGGTTTAGGTTAGAGATCAGAAGGCAATATTTTACAGTTAGGGTGGCCAAAATCTGGAACCAACTTCCCAGGGAAGTGGTTCTCGCCCCTATCTTGGGCAAATTCAAGAGGAGGTTGGATGATCACCTGTCTGGGGTCTTGTGAACCCAGCATTCATTCCTGCCTGTGGCAGGTGGTCAGGCTAGATGATCTGCTCAGGTCCCTCCTGACCCTAGCTACTATGAAACTATGTCCCAGACTCCTTCCTGGTTTAACTTAAACCAGAGTTCCCCAGCATCCCAGGTGCCTTGCAGCCCTGGGCTGGGGTGTCTGCTCCACAGAATAGACTGGGCCCGCCCCTCTAGTCCCTAGCCAGAGCTCCAGGGAGACTGCAGGCTCAGCAGGGTCTGCCTGGTTTCTCTCACTGCTCAAGCAAGGATTTCTCCCCCCCCCCCCCCCACTCCCGCAGCAAAGACCCCAGCCGGCATGAGAAGTGTATGTGCGAGTGTCCAATTTCACTGGAACAGGACAAAGACAGACAGGACAGCATCTGCTTATGGCTTTTGGAGCTAATCAACAGGTCAGCTAGTAATGTCCCTCCATTCCTTCCTTGGAAAAAGCTGTTTAAGAAGAGCTTGAACTACTAAGAGAAGCTTTTGTTTTGCTGATAGGCTGATAAACACTATGGTTTTATCAGTGCCCCTGCCGGTTTGCAGCCCTGTCAGGTTTGCAGACAGGGAGAAGGGAGATTGAAAATCTTAGTATCATCAAAAAATATATGCATTGCATTGCATGCCCTGGCTTTGCCTCAGAGTGCTAGGAATAATACTAGCAAATACACATGTGCAGTTTCAACAGCCATTTATATTTAAATCAAACTTTACTCCTTACCTCAGGTTGATTTGAAATATTGAGAATGAGTGCCCACAATTCGGCTCTGAGTGCTGTTGGACACCCCTGGCGAACGTACTGTTGAGCTGCAGCACTGTCTTGTTCTGTTAAAACTACAAGAGGACATGCCATGAATTTCTGACAACAATTCATATGCTTCTGTAAAACATTATTTTTTTAAATTTAACCCATGCTTTTTATACACTGAAAATGATAGAGGAAGACAACCACTCTAACCTAGGCTCTCTCTCTGCATTTAAAAGACTTGAACATTGCATTTTCCATATGTTGATCTCCATCAACTGATAATGCTAGCCTTGCTGTATAGTATGAAAATACTGTTAAACACTTTCAGATTAAATAGTTATTGGATCTGACATCTACTTTTTTTTTTTTTTTTTTTATCTTTTCTCTTCCCTACTCAAGCAAGTGAAGTAGATTCTTATTACAAGAAGGCTCATATGCAATTGGTCACCAATAATAAGCTTGGGGCAGTTTGTTATAAAAACAACAACAAAACCACTGAATTATTTTAATTGAACAGAAAATAAAATCAAGAAGACTGCAAAACAGACTGTGCTACTTAGTCAGAACTTACACAGAACTTGTCATACTGACATTAATGTGCAAAGGATTTTACCCAGAGCGTTTTGTACCGTCCACAGCCACGGCACCTCATGCACCTTAATGTCTATCTCCCTAGGCCACAGCAACCCTCTAACTTAAATCAATGGGTGACTACTTGTTCAGCATATCAGTTACTACTTTCTATCCCTAAGCCACAGTGAATAAGCTGAGTAAGGGAGACTGATTCCAGGTAACTGAAATTCCCTGCTCATCTTTTTAGAAGTCAACCAGAACTCAATTTGAGTGGAAACAGCTGGACTAGCACTGCTGCTATTTACTTGGGGTTATAGGGCGCTGGGGAAGAGATGAGACCGCAGGGTTAGGACTGAGGAGCTGCGTTCACATCCTGGGTCACCCTTTTGCAACACTTAGCTAATGGGACAGCACCTCTAAGAAGGCAGTTCTCATTGGGTATTCATAATCTATGTCACAGGCTAGGTAGTTGATATTAGCAAGCAAGGTAATGAGGGCCCCTTCCTGCTCTGCTTTCACCATAATAAAGGAAGCATTTAAGGCTGAAGTTACATGTTATACTTAAACCATACTAAAATCTGTGGAATGTTAAGCAGTGTTAAAGTTAAAAACTGATGGAAGCAGGTACGCATTAAGGGTTAATACTGTTCCTTGCCTGTGTGCACAGGTCTTCTCTGCCACTAGAGGGCTTGGCTAGGAGCCAGGGAACCTGGGCTTTATCCCTGCTCAGGGGGAAAGGGGGCTGGGAGTGGTACATCCTGGGATGCTGGAGGACTGCAAATTGCTCATTTTATTTCCATGGAGCAGACTGAAGTTACCCAAACACAAAGTAGCATGGTCCAGAGTTAACCCTTGACTTAAGTGGTGCAGCTTTAAGGTACTCAGAGGGCATTTGGCATAAGTTAACAAGCTATAAGATGAGGATCTCCTAAGCTGGTCTGTGGGACAGATCAGGCCACACCAGTGCATAGGGCCAGGCCAGCAGGCATGCAGTACTCACCCCAGACTGACCCCTTATGCTACAAGGGGCACCCACAGCACTGGACCCAACCCACATACTAGACTGGCTCCACAAGTAACATGCAGTATATTGGGTTGGTCCAAGACCCACAGGCCAGATCCAGCCCACAGGCCATGTTTAAGCCTCCTTTAAGATTATTTTTCCCTACTGACAATATGAGAATAGCTACATGCTCATCCAGCAATCCAGAAATATCTACCATGAGAAAAATGGCTAATGAAGAGCCTTTATGACAAGCCATTTTGCTAAACAACCTTTGGATAGCATCACATTCTGCAAAACTCAACCTCAAAATTAGCAACTGTATTGACAAATAACTTGCGTTGCTAGGCCGTCTCAACTTAACCAGTCTTTGACTAAATTGTAAATACATTACCAGGCCAAAATGGGCCAGGGTCCACAACAGAATTAAGATTTTGTTTTTATTATTAATCACAGACTCCATACACAGAAGAAAATTAATTGACTCCTCTAAGATCTCTGTGCAATTCATACTGATGATCCAAACAAATACTTTACTAAATTTCTACCACCAAAATCATTACAAGTTTGTTAATAGTATGCAGAACCATAACTAAACCAAAGGATAGGGACTGTCTTTGAAGTGGCTCAGAATCAAATACTCAAAGACTTCTTGGTGACTGGAAAGATGTGAAAACGAGCAACTTGTTTAAAGCATGTGCATGTGCGTGCGCATGCACATGCACACACTCCCCCCCCCCCATCAGAAGATAGAGATTAGTCAGATCAACTACACACACACACACACACACACACACACTAAATGTAGTTGAGCTACTAATCTCCATCTTCTGATTAGAAGCATATTCCTCTAATCCTTCAATTCTGCACATGCAATTCAAATTTTTCTGGCAAGCTACCATATTATGGTTTTTATATGGTACCATATCAAGGTTTCAACTTTCACAAGTCAGTTTCACAATTGCCTCTCAAAAGCAAGCAGATGAATGGCCCAGACTCCTCTTTGTATAAGTTCAAGGCTGTTTTTTGAGTTTGCATCACCTACACCCTCCTGTGAAGACCAAATGAAGGATGTGGATATAGTCCTAAATGACCTGAAGGGAGTTAAATGGTTGGCTCACAAAGTCCATTTTGGTGGGGGGCAGAAATTTACTGAGGTGAACCCTGAGAAAGGGGAAAAAGAGAGAGATGGTACGTTGGCGGGTGGGGGGGGAGGGTTGTACAATCAGCCAGGGACTGGGGACAGACAACAGAGGAAGGAAGATAAAGGAAGGATCTCATAAAAAGAGATAAGTGAAAAATGCTGCTTTTATTCTACCCAAAAAAGAGAGTC